ATTATTACGTATAAAATATTATCGAATTCCTATCAATGTGAATTTCCAAAATTTCAATTTTCTATAATGTTTATTAATACAAAAATTATGCGTTGACAAACGTGAAAGTGAAAATGTTGCAAGAATTAAAGAACCTATAATAATATTATACGAGTATGTAGTATAAGCTAAGCTTTTAAAATGCATGAGAAGCAAACGTATAAACACGCTTTTAATAATGATCCATAGTGGAATTAGTCATGGTAATAAAGTAGTGTGTCATATCTGGTCTGTTTTGGTTACCCATTTAGAAATCCAACAACCAGTTCGTATTAAGCTTGTTGCTCGTCTGGACGCATATGGTCGATGCACATTACCACCCAAGTAATTGAGAAATAGTGTTCAGATTTCCACATCGATCGAACTACTATTTCAGTATTCCGATCTAACTGTTACTCTTTCATTTTTTTGTTCATCCATTTTAAGGAGCATTTCTCCCATCGCATGCATATTTGAAACGTGGTAATATGTCCCTTTCTTGGTATTTAATTTTTTTTGTTGATCCAAGTGTGGTGTTGGTGTTTGTGCTCCCCTAATTCTAAAGTCTATTGACTACCCTCCAAAGCCCCTAGACATGTAAATCCGGATCTGATCGATCACAGTCAGCCTCGTCGGTACTGGTAGTACATGACGAATCCAGCAGGACTTCCTTAGTTCCTTATAACTAAGGGAGTGTTTGCAATTGCTTCAACTTTAAAAAAGTGATTTTTTAAAGTGATTTTGAGAAAAGTGATTAATAGTAAAAGTTGGTAGTGTTTGAGAAAAAAGTGATTCTGAAAAAGTAAGAGTTGGTAGTGTTTGGTAAAATAAGTACTTTTTGTGTAATAGAAAAAGTGAGAAGCAGTTTAAAGCACCCTTCTACCTGCTTCCAGCTTTTAGCTTTTAAGTGATTAATTTAAGCAGAAGCTGTCATTTGAAAACACTCTTTTCAACTTTTTTTAAGCCAAAAGCTGAAAAGTGCTTTTTTTAAGCAACCACAAACACTCCTTAAATCCAGAAGGGTCGTTAACCTTGCAACTGAATCCAGAAGGGACCCCCACCACGCGAACTTGAGCCTGAATTTCCATCACCCCCCTTCTTAGCCGGTGAGCAACTCTGTGAAGGTAGGAAGAATAATTGGAAGCAAGACCTCTCCCATCTCCCCTAAAGTGCCTAGCGGGTTTCGAACCCGAGATCATACGCTAAGCAAGGTAACCTTGCATCCATCTGGCTGGAACGCTCGGTTAGAATCTGTTTCGTAACCTATGTTCCGTTATATCGGTCTTATCAATCATTTTTACATATAGCTTATCCGTTATATCCTTAGTAATATGTTCCCTTTAATTTCTTGGTATTTAATTGTTTCTTGGTATTACATTTTTTAAATCGCACGTAGCTAATATACTGAATTTTTATATATAGTTTGGTGTATTAAATCCAAGTATGAACATGTGATTCTTTAAACCCTTAAATGTAACAATACATTACTTTAGGCTAATGGGTCAAATAGGCCCTTGAACTAACTTAATGTGTTCAATTGGTCCCCTTATATAGGAGGTTCTGCCCGGCCGTCGCCAATTGGGGCGTTTCCCGGTTGAATTTTTTGATGAAATTTTTTGAGCATCTTATTCATTAAGTCTAGTTTATCCATACCAAATTGCAGCTAAAAATTCGACCGGGAAGCCAGACAAATGAATTTTTAAAGATAACCGCGCAGTTAAACAACGCATTGCATTCTGGAAAATCATTTGACTGTCTTCCCGATTGAATTTTTAGCTGAAATTTGATATGGGTAAACTAGACTTAATGAAGAAGATGCTAAAAAAATTTCATCAAAAAATTCCACAGGGAAACGCCCCAATTGGCGACGGCCGGGAAAAACCTCCTATATAAGGGGCTAATTGAACACTTTAAGTTAGTTCAAGAGCCTATTTGACCCTTTAGCCCATTACTTTATAGTGGGTGATCTACATTTGATATTAAATTTGAAACTACTTTGATTAATCGGCACAGGTAGCTCAGTTGGTCCAGTGGTGGTAAATTTGAAACAATGACCAAAGATCGAAACTCACAATGGTCGTGTGGATGTTACAACTCATGTGTGCTGAACTGAACCTCTGGTGTACACGAGTATAAGGTCTACCACCATTGGACCGACTGAGTCACCGTGACTCTTATTCCTCCATCATTCTGTTGAGTCGGGGTTTGGGGGCTCGTGGGATGGGAGATTGAAACTGTTTTGATTCTAGAATTTGAGAATTTTACCAAACGTAGTTTGGTAAAGCGGGTTTGAGGCAGTGTTTGCTATTGATTTTACAAAGCACTTTAGGCTTTCAAAATTGCACGCATATCACTATTACAGTTTTCATTTCATAAAATATGACAATTTTCCCATATTCCAAAAAAGTGATCCATTTAAAACATACGGATTGTACAGCGATTCAGCAAAGCATCTCCATCGAACACTTCCCCTCTTCCCTCAAACGAACTTCTCTCCGTCTTCTTCCCAATGAAGCATCCATCGAACATCATCGCACCTCCATCGGTCGTCGTCTCCACCTTCAATTCGCAGCCTCTGTCGGCATCGCATGTCGGCGTCTCCACCGATTTTCTACGTCGCCGCCTTCATCGATGTCCGCTCCGGCTCTCTCCTCCTCCTCCTCCTCCTCCTTCTTTTTCTTTAATCTTTGTCCGATTGATGAAGCGGTGAAGAGATTGACCACCATGGTAGAATGAGATTGTCGTCTAGGTTTTCCAGATCTGTGCATAGTTCACGACGGATTTTAGATCTAGTCGACATAGGCGATGATGTAGCTAGGTTTCACCTAGGCAAAGGTACTGCGATGGCTTCGGTGGGATTTTTGCCAGGGAAAGGTAGGGAAGGGTCTAAGGAGGGGGCTATGGGCTGTGGAGGGGAGTTTGGGGGCTGGAGAGGGGGCGGACGACGGCGGTGGTAAGTCAGGTGGGCCATACGGCGGCGGTCAGAAAGCGGCGGTGGTGGCCGGAGTTGGAGACTGTCACTGTGTCCGGAGTCACTTTGGCCGGAGTCACTTTGGCCGGAGTCACTTTGGTCGGAGTCACTTTGGCCGGAGTCACTTTGGCCGGAGTCACTTTGACCGGAGTCACTTTGACCGGAGTCACTTTGACCGGAGTCACTGAGATAGTGACTCCCGGCGGTGGCGGCGGCGGCTGCGGCGGCGCCGGCGTCGGCAGTGGTTGTACAGGGGTGGGTGGTCCCGAGTGCCGGTGGTTAGGACTAGTAATCAAATGCATAAAAGAAAAAGAAATATTAAAATAATAAATACTTATATGATTAAAAACAAGTAATAAATGGCTTTTAGTCACATTTTTTGAAAAATTTAAAACAAGTCACTTTTTTATCTTTTTCATTCATTTTAGTAATATTGGAATAAAAAGGCCGTTTCTTTTTAAAAAAAAGTTGATTGGAGTGTTTGCTGTTACAAATTTTAGCTTCACTTAAGTGCTTTTTACGTAGAAGCTGAAAGCACCTCAGGGTGCTTTTATCAGCTTTTAGGTACAACTGTAAATAAATGCAAAATTGAGGAGACTTTTATCCCTTCACTTTTCTGCTCTTCTGTCCATGGTACCCTTCTTCTTCATCTCTTTTGTCACTCAAGATGCGTTGATTAATTTTATTCTTCTCATTTGATCTAAAAGCGGGTCTTCTTCATCTCTCTATTTCCCGACCGATAAAGCTCCACCTTGATTTCCGAAGGTCAGTCCAGCGGGAACAAAGCAACACGCCAACACAAACAAACTTGAATTCACTAATTTTATCCTGATTTTGAGAATTTTGTTAAACCCAATTTTGTTTGGATATGGTTTTTTTAGATTGTTTTCCTGATCTTACCAAAAGCAACGGTTGAAGCTTGAAATCATTGGCGGTCCAGGACTAGTAGAAGAAATGTACTACAAATAATAATTGAAAGGGTATTTTTGTACTTTCACTCATATACTATAACAAATCACTTTTTTTATCAAACACTTCACCTTTTACCTTTTGATTAAAATTACTTCTCTTTACAAACACTATTCACTTTTACTATAAATCATTTTTTCAATAATCACTTAAAAAATCATGTGTGATAAGCAGAAGGAAACGCAAACAACGCAAACATAAGGAGTGTTTGGGGTTGATTAAAAAAAGTGTTTTTCAGCTTTTGGCTTAAAAAAGTTGAAAAGAGCGTTTTCAAATGATAGCTTCTCCTTAAATTAATCACTTAAAAGCTAAAAGCTGGAAGCAGGTAGAAGGGTGCTTTAAACTGCTTCTCACTTTTTCTATTACACAAAAAGTACTTATTTTACCAAACACTACCAACTTTTACTTTTTCAGAATCACTTTTTTCTCAAACACTACCAACTTTTACTATTAATCACTTTTCTCAAAATCACTTTAAAAAATCATTTTTTTAAAGTTGAAGCACTCGCAAACACTCCCATAGTCTCAGACGTTTACAGTCCACGATTAGAATTCCCTTAAACTTACATACCACAATTAGAATTCCCTTAAACTTACATACCACAATTAGAATAAAAGCGTCCATTCGGAAAGAGGTCATAAACTTCATATGGAAAGATTGACTTTAAGAATGATTAGAGTTTGAATTCAAGTGTGTAGCTGCTAGGTGAGTAGTAGCTCCTAGAGCCACATGGCTCTAGACTCCAAGGAACATTATTGGCATGTGGGGCTGTCCACATTCAGCAGTCTAATTCTCAATAAAGATGGAAAGTTACATGCTAACTCATGAAGCTCCCTTTTCAGCTTCAACAATCAGTTGAGAGTTTGTTACTCTAATTTATTTTCAATTATTAAAGACAATAACGTAATTACGTAAACAAAAAAGTAGGGAGATGGAGTTTTTGCACCGGCATAGGCCATCTGATACCTTTGAGTTGGTAGAAGGTCTAATTTTATCGGATAACAACAATCGATCGAACGTAGACCATTGATATAGCTAACATACTTCCAAAAAAAATACAAAGATAAATCGAATAATTGAACAAAATAAATATCTCTAACATTTTGAACTCTACTCTTTGGCATTGGGGTTTCTCTAAAAATATGGTCAATGATGTGAATATCAATTTAGATGGGATTCCATGACTCGTTTCCTATTATGTTGAGATTTACTCTTACAGGTTCAAATGCCCAACAAAGTCCTTTCGGCTCTCTAAGAAGGTCTGCATCGACGGTACAAGCGGGGTTCTTCGATGGAAGAGATTGTAAACCAGTACAAACAGATGACAATCGACGAGGACAACAAAGGATTGATCTTCGACGATGACGATGGAGGGGAAACTGTGGCAAGCAAAGGCAAGGTAACCATTGCGGTGATTGGCATGATAGGTTCTCAGACGAATTTTCTGGAGGTTGAAATTCTCTTCTACCATACTACAACAGCTCTCCCTCCTCCGGAATTACCTCCCTGCGAGGAAGTAATTTGGGGAAAGTTTTTATTTTCGTATTATTTTTCTTTTCGCAGTGCTTATTTTTATTTCAGTTCGAGTAGGTATGGTCGGAATATTTTGATTTTTGATAAACTCTTGATAGACAGTGTTTCATTTTCGGTCGTTTTAGGCTTCCTCTTGCCCGTTTAGTGTCTAGAGAGTCATGTTGCTTTGTATGGGTGGCTGACTCTAAGTCTATTCCAAGGGCTTACGATCGGATCTGTAATATATGTTTGGATTTGGTCTCGTGTGTTTGCTCTATTTTAATGGAAAGTCGTTTTGATGATAAAAAAAAAAGAATTCCTTTTTATGAGTTAGTTAGTGAGCGTTTAAAAGCAAAAAAGAGACATAAAGTATAAGCAAATATACAAGAGACAAAGTGGATTCAGCTTTATTGAAGTCCTTACAACAGTTACAACACTAATGTCGAGTCCAAACTGCGACCCCCTAGATCAAGTTGAATGTTATAGGAAATTTAGAGAGAAGTCTATTGATAAGAATACAAAATTTTCAACATTTTATAATGAAATGAATGTTGATATTTATACCACAAGGTAGTAGGTGTAGGGAGTGATGTGCTCAACCCTTAGTGGACAGTCTCCAACCATAAAATCTTCAATATCTTGTGCATCAAATGTATTTCCTGTCAATTTCAGATTTTCCACCAACTGTATGGAAGAGCTCTGCCTTGAATGGAAAGTGCAAGTGAGGGAGTTGGGCCGAGCGGCGCTACTCATGTGGGGTGATCGAGCGGCACTCCTGGACTGACTCGAATTGGAATGATTCAGATTTGGTCTTCGGCCTGGACTTGGGCCTAATATGCCAACATATTTTATTCAGTCCGAATTTGAAGCACTGGTTCTAAACTTGGGCCTAATATGCCAACATATTTCATTCCGTCCGAATTATGCCAACATATGAGTCGTTTTTTTTTAAACACTGGTTCTAGTCTTCTAGATAGATATAGGGCATGTCAAATTTGGAACCCAGATTTGGATTATAAATAAATTAACGAGTCCAAATCTAGGGTAATGTGTTCCGATTCGAATCCGATTCATTGAGAAGCCTAACTTTGTGGGCCTTAATTGAATAAGGACGTACGATGTTTTTACTTGGACTGTATTCAGTCCCAGATCAGACCAGACTTAAACAAATCAGACCAGATCAGACCAGACTTGACTTTCATAGTTATAAAATACACAGAGACCAGACATTTACCAGACCAGTTCAGACCAGATTAGGCCAGATCAGACTTAAATAGACAGATTAGACCAAACCAACAAATTACAGTCCAAGTAAAAACATAATATAAGAGGTTTTAGTATTTTAGTTTCAAAATAGAAGAGGTATGGTCAGGTTTGACTCATGTCATCACTATATACTCCTAGATTTTTTCCCCATGGTGCTTTTCTATAGTACTTCTATAAATATTCTAATACGGAGTATTCAATACAGGGTGAAAAGTCGAACAAAATATCTTTGTCAATTTTTTTGACTTTAACAAAAATATTCCTGATGTTTCTTTCATTTTTCATATTAGACCTTAGCTGGTTAATTTTGAAAAGTTAAAGTAAGAGTTGTAAACCATAAAAATATACTCCAAATTAATTTAGTGGATTGCGGCTGAAAGGTATACTTTTTTTATTACAAGTGTGGCACAATTATCTGAAATTTGCAGTACATGTATTAAAAGTTTATTTAGAGGTTCTTTATTAACGTTGAGAATAATTGAATCCACTGAAATTAGTGGTCTCATAGCTAGCACAATTGAATTGTCTAAATGGATTGAAATATGGAAAAAATAATAAATAATTAACATAATAAAGAAAAAATCACAAAAAATCACAATAAAAATAACTAAATTAGATTTTTTTCAGCAAATTATGTTAAAAACTCCAATCTTACTTATTTTAATCATAAGGAGACGGACTAATGTTTGTCAAAAAGAAATTGACTAATGAGGCCCGACCTATAAGACAAAAATATTTGTTATAAAGGACACGGCTTTTTGTAATCTAATGTTTAAAACCATTTTCATCAAACTTGTATTTGATTTTCAGATTTTGTGTTTCATATTACATTATTATCGATTTTAAATTTAAGAATGACTTGAACATTCATTTAAATAAGAAAAGAAATGGTTTCTCTTTATCATTGATGAACCGAATAAGATAGCAAAATTGATTGGGGCGAATCCAGAAATAAGTGTACAAAGATTTGACAAAAAAAATGTAAAACTGCACAATGTGAAATCATCCCTTATGTACAAAATAAAAATAAAAATAAAAAAAATACTCCGTAAGAAAGAAATAAAAGTCTAAATTGAAAAAAATGTGCTTTCCATTTTGATTTTAAGTAACTTAAAACGTAGAAAAACCTTTGTGAAGACAAGATGCCTTTATAAATTTTATAATTAAAGAAAAATTGAGATGTAATATTTTTGAAATATTGCCCTAAATAGGAGTAAATAAGTTTTGAAATTTCAAAATGGGATTGCTATGTTTTCTTTCCGAAATAAGAGTCATTACTGTCAGGATGATGAGGATGATGATGACTGTCATGATTGAAAAATATTGTCATGTTAATGCCGAGTATTACAATTATTTTGACAGTAATGACTCCAAGATGGTAGTTAGTATCGTCTGTTACTCTTATTACAAAAAGAAAAACATAACAGTCATATTTTGACAAATTCTATTTACTAATATTTTGAGAATTTTCCCAATATTTTTCAGGGGGTGTATTCATTTCGGACTTTTTAAGACATCTTAGGATTCTCAAAAACCGGGTGTATTCAATCGGGACATTTTAAGACATTTTAAAATCCGGTGTATTCAATCGGGACATTTGGAGAGTCAAAAACTTTGGATTCTAGATTTGGCAGGACTTTATCACAAAAGTACACTGTGAAATCCTATTATCAAATCGCATGAGCAGACCTGAGATTTGTGAGACTCGTTCGCACCTGGGAACCTCCGTGCTGAACGGAAACCTGCCCCTATTGAAGACTATAGTTATTTTCATTTACCTCCGTATTAAACATATAACAAAGTCCATATCCATGCACATGCACATGCTGGACATTTCACTTCATGTAGGTAGTACATATGGTAGGATTCATGCATGTGACATGCAAAGTACCATAGATCACATGCACGCACATGCAGTGCTATTTCCTCTCACCTAACTAGGACTACTCCATGTAAAGCATATATACATGCACGTATCTTCTGTAACAGATGAAGAGAGATGATAATAATTTCTCCCTAGATTACTCTCGGCTTCTTCAATTCCCAATTAATATACATCTCTATATTTATTAGTTATTGCTATTTTTATCATGGTATCAGAGCAAAAATCCTGAAAATAGTATATTTCCAAACACTCTTTTCCTCCAAATTTGCTATCCTCCTATCAAACTATGGCGGTCGATGATAAGACCAAAGCTAGTAGTCAAGATTCCGAGAGTTTAGTAATTGATTCTATGTCACCTTATTTTATTCAATTCGGAGATAAGCCCGGAGATGTGTTCGTCACCTCAATTCTTCGTGACGGTAACTACGGTGATTGGCTCGATGAGATGAGCAACGCCCTTTATGCAAAAAATAAATTTGGCTTCGTGAATGGTGATATTCCGATGCCCAAATCCGACTCACCATATCTCCCGCATTGGCAACGAGCAAATGCAATGGTGAAAGCTTGGTTAAACAGTAGCATGGATGTGGAACTTAGGCAAATTGTGAAGTTCAAAACGGCCCGTGAGATATGGGTAGACTTGAAGGAACGATATGAGAAAGAGAGTGCACCTCGAGCTTATGAACTCCGATGTATCCTTGGTTCCATTCAGCAAGAAGGTCAGTCAATATCGGCCTACTTTAGCCGACTACGCCGTGTATGGGATGAGATGGTCTCCATCAACACTCAACCGAAATGCTCTTGTGACGGTTGCACTTGCAACTTCTCTAAGCAAATGGCGGACTCTCGCGACAGAGATCGGCTTTACGATTTTTTGATGGGTCTAGATGACACTTACGGTCAACTAAAAGGTCAAATACTTGCCACTAGACCAGTTCCCACCCTCACTGCTGCATACCACCTCGTCTCAGAAAACGAACAGCACCGGTCCATTGCATCCTCCCGCAAACCGGGCACTGACGGCGTGGCTTTCTTCACACGACCAAAGAAGGAAATTATCCCAAACCGGCGTCCAAATGCAAAAGAGGCTAGAACTTGCTCATATTGTGGAAAGATTAATCATACGTATGAAACGTGTTTCATGCGAGTGGGATATCCTCCCAATTGGAATCTAAAGCCTAAAGAGAATAAATTAATAGGAGGAAGTCATGAACCCAATATCCTTTTTCAACTACCGAAGGTGACACACGAGAAATTTAAGCACTTTCCTACACGTGTTGCACACGTGGACAGCCAGCAAAAATCTGAGTTTGGATTATCTGATGACCAGTTGCAGCGATTAGCCAAGTTCATGAAGCAAGAAATAAAAGACCCAGCTGACATCCAATCTTCTTCTGGTGTCCAGATTAATATGGCAGGTATATCATCAAGGCGTCGTTCTTGGATAATAGACTCCGGAGCAAGTGAACATATCATTTGTAATAATGATGGTCTCGTTGATATTCACACACATGCTTCAATATTATCCGTCAAAATTCCAAATGGTGATACGGCCCATGTCCAAGCTATTGGGAGTGTGGATCTGTTCAAGGGATTTCGTCTCCGACGAGTTTTATACATTCCAAAATTTCAATGCAATTTGCTCTCAGTTAATCGCCTAATAAGTGATTTTAACTGCACACTTACATTTTTTAATGATTTGTGTATCTTACAGGACTTACTCTCGAGGAAGCTGATTGGAGTGGGTCAATGCCGTGACGGTCTATATTATTTGGAACCACTGAGCGTTGAGGGGTTGGCAATGTCAGTTTCTGCTAATCTTAATTTATGGCATCAACGTTTGGGACATGCTTCAGATAAGCAATTACATCATATTGGTTTTCTTTGAGGCTCACGACGGAGCAATAATTTCTGTGATTCTTGCATACGAGCTAAGCAGACCCGTCTACCCTTTCCCATTAGTTCTATTAAAACAAGTAGCTGTTTTGAATTAATACATTGTGATATTTGGGGAGGATATCGGTGTGACTCAATTTCTGGTGCACGTTATTTTTTAACCATAGTGGATGATTTCTCTAGAGCTGTGTGGGTCTATTTAATAAAAAATAAATCCGATTTTCCTCAAATTCTGATTCAATTTTTCAACATGGTGTGTACCCAATTTGAGCAAAAGGTTAAACGCATACGGGCCGATAATGGCGCAGAATTTCAAACTAATGCTTTGTTTGAATATTATAACAAAAATGGGATCTTGTTAGAAACATCTTGTACGGACACACCACAGCAAAATGGGGTTGTTGAGCGTAAACATAGACACATATTAGAGGTAGCTTGAGTTCTTCGATTCGAGTCTGGTTTACCTGTTGATTTTTGGGGGGAGTGCATTCTCACAGCGGTCCACCTCATTAATAGACTACCATCATCCTCAATTTTGAACAAAGCCCTTTTGAAATATTATTTGGAAAATTACCAAATTATGATCATTTGAGGGTATTTGGATGTTTGGTATATGCTCATAATAATAAGCGGAAAGATAAATTTGGAGAAAGAGGGAGTCCTTGCATTTTTATTGGGTACCCAAATGGACAAAAGGCTTTTCGGGTATTTGATTTGCAAAACCATACAGCATATAGCTCTCGGGATGTAACGTTTTTTGAAGAAATTTTTCCGTTCAAAATAGAGTTGAAAGAGGAAGCTGATTTGGTGACCAAAATTGAACAGGTCTATAATAATATTGTGAGATCGGGGATAGTACCCGTAGGTTCTCAAAATATTTCCCCTGGGTTCCATCAACCTCACCAACCAATGGAACAAATACACATGTCCACCAAATACTCAAGGACAGATGCATCTGTTGATCACCAAAATATCCCACTAAAGGACAAAATCAGCCCATCTCCCATGCAGGTGCTCATTAATGATGACCAACATTCAAAACAATATACCATGGGTGCATCGTATGACACCCATTCACATGCAGCCTCAACCGACGAAAACATCACCTCCCAGCTGGCCGGACACACTGCATCAGATGACGAAGACCATCCAGTTGCACATCACAATGCCAACCTTCATGAAACAAATTCTGACATCTCGCTCCAGCTCATTGGGGCCGACAATAGGATAAGCACCGAACCATGCAATCAAATAACCTTCAAAACAACTCCCAACACAAACTTCCAGCCACATCCAGCGAGACATGGCCCCATTAATCTGCCAGATTTAGCTGAATGCACCGCACAGCCACAAATTGAGCCAAGAAAAAGTAAACGTCCAAGAAAGCAACCAAAACGATTAGCGGACTTCGAAACTGACTTGCCACCGTCTCTTGCTCCGGCTCCACCCACTGCCAGTCATGCTAAGTCAATGGTATATCCTATTTCACATTTCATTAATTATGATAAGTTTTCTCACACTCATAAAGCTTTTCTGGCGGCCATCACTGCCCGTGATGAGCCAAAATACTTCTCACATGCAGTACAAGATCCTCTTTGGAGAGAGGCTATGCAACGAGAAATTAGTGCTCTGGAAGAAAACAACACTTGGACGCTTGTTCAGCTACCACCGGGAAAAAGAGCCATTGATTCCAAATGGGTCTATAAAATTAAATATAAACCCAATGGAGAAGTGGAACGTTATAAAGCTAGATTGGTAGCCAAAGGTTTTACTCAGATTGAGGGCATTGATTTTCATGAAACATTTGCACCTGTCGCCAAGATCGTTACAGTCCGATGTGTGTTGGCCGTTGCCGCCAAACGAAATTGGGCAGTGCATCAACTAGATGTGAATAATGCCTTCCTTCATGGGGATCTCTTAGAGGACGTGTACATGCGTCTACCCCAGGGTTTTGCCAAGACCAATGACACACGTGTTTGCAAGTTACAAAAATCACTATATGGACTAAAACAAGCTTCTCGTAATTGGTACCATAAATTTACTCAAGCCCTAATCAAAGTCGGTTTTAGACAATCTCGAGCGGATCATTCCCTTTTTATCTTTCAAAAGGGACAAATTCATACTTTTGCCCTCATCTACGTCGATGACGTCATCTTAGCTGGCAACACCATCTCACACATCAAAACCATCAAGACTTACTTAAACGACACTTTCAGCATCAAGGACTTAGGCAACCTAAAATATTTCCTTGGAATTGAGGTTGCTCGCTCTCCTGAAGGATTTGTCTTAAGTCAACGGAAATATACACTTGACATCCTAGAGGAAAGTGGGGTCCTAGCTGGCCGCCCAAGTTCATTTCCCATGGAACAGAATCTAAAGCTCCGCCCTGACGACGGTAGTCCACTCGTTGATGCACCCTCTTATCGGAGATTGATCGGCCGCCTGCTCTATCTTACCGTCACTCGTCCTGACATTGTCTATTCCGTTAGCCAACTTAGTCAATTTCTTGGAGCGCCAAGACAGACCCACCTCGATGCCGCCACCCGTGTTCTTCGTTACCTAAAACTTACTCCGGGACAAGGCATTTTTTTGGGATCCGATACTGATATCACATTAAGTGCATACTGTGATGCAGACTGGGCTGGATGCCCTTTTACCCGACGTTCTAGCACTGGTTACTTTATCACTCTTGGCCAATCACCCATATCTTGGAGGACCAAGAAACAATCTGTTGTCTCACGATCTTCCGCCGGAGCAGAATATCGTGCCATGGCAGTCACAGTCAGTGAGATCTTATGGTTACGATGGTTACTACAAGACCTCACAATTCTCCAACAAGGACCCACATTACTTTATTGTGATAATCAGGCAGCACGTCATATAGCACTAAATCCGGTTTTTCATGAACGTACAAAACATGTTGAAATGGATTGTTACTTTGTACGGGAACGGGTTGCGAGCAATGAAGTTTGTCCACAATATATCTCCACAACCAACCAGGTGGCAGACATATTCACAAAGGCTCTTGGAACAGACCGCTTCCAATTTCTTCGTGACAAGTTGGGTGTTCGAAATCTACACACTCCACCTTGAGGGGGAGTATTGAAGACTATAGTTATTTTCATTTACCTCCGTATTAAACATATAACAAAGTCCATATGCATGCACATGCACATGCTGGACATTTCTCTTCATGTAGGTAGTACATATGGTAGGATTCATGCATGTGACATGCAAAGTACCATAGATCACATGCACGCACATGCAATGCTATTTCCTCTCACCTAACTAGGACTACTCCATGTAAAGCATATATACATGCACGTATCTTCTGTAACAGATGAAGAGAGATGATAATAATTTCTCCCTAGATTACTCTCGGCTTCTTCAATTCCCAATTAATATACATCTCTATATTTATTAGTTATTGCTATTTTTATCAGCCCCTGCTTCGATTTTGTTCCCCAGCAGATCGAAACACCTATCCCCTTGCAGCTCTTCTCCTTGACCCGTTTTCTGAAGCTTTGTTGTGGGTTTCTCCGATTCGCAGATGCAAGAATTGAAACGAAGGGGGATTCCAACGTGAAGAGACGATCTGCAGAGGGATTTCAATGATTGTAGGGATTGAAACAAAGGCAAGTGAATGGAGGTCATGCAGTGCTACTCATCTTCTTAACTTTGATTCCATGCTCTGCAGATGATCTTTTGTCTTGAAATGCCTACACAATTGTTTTGAAATGTCTTTGAAATCTCGAATTGTCCAGTAAAATCTTTATTGAATAAAAATCTCAAATTGTTTTAAAATGTCCCAATTTAATACACCCCCAAATATCTTTTGATATGGATCCTCTCCAGTAACGGGTGCTTCCAGTTGGCCTGGAGAGAGACAGAGAAGACGGAAATTATGGTGGGGTATGGTGGTGAGTAAGATAGAGAAAAAGGTAGATATAGATACGAAGAAAAAAAGAAATGGATGAGAAATGGAGAGGGAAAAATGGAGAGGAGCTGGACTCAATATCTTTTGGGAATGAGACTTGGATGTTATGGTTGTTGTAGTATTAGATACCCCACAAATAAATAAAAATATCATGCTTACTGTACATTTCATTGATCTAAATCGTTATTTAAATTATCATTTGGTTATATTTAAATTGATATAAATTATTCAATTATAATAGGGAAAGTTCCCGAAATATGACTAAAACAGTTTGAAAATTCCAAAATAGGGCTGTCATGTTTTTTATTATCAGAATAGGAGTAATCACTGCCAAGTTTGGAAAATACTGCCATATTTGAAGTCTGATACTGCCAAAACATGACATTAATTAGTCCTATTTCGGGAATAAATTTTTAAAAATATGGAAGTCCTATTTTGGAATTTTCAAACCCTTTTAGTTCTATTTCGGCTAATATTCTCATTATAACATTATAATTAGTTCACGTGGTTAAGGAAGTTACGATATCTCAAAAGTAGATGTCATTTTCTTTTCATTTTCGCCACTCAATAAATAGTGAAAAAAATATCAAAACATGATTAAAATTCTCAAATATGAGTTTAAGTTTTATATTCCCTAAACGTGATTTTAGATTACATTTTTACCCTTAATATCAAAATCTTTGATTGACTCTTCCCCAACCCCCTTTGCCATCGATCCCAGACCTTGCCCATGAGATTACTTCCTCTCCATCAACCACCATCGATTGCACCTGCCGCCGCCACCCCCCACCCACCCACCCACCCCTGCGACTCTGGTATGGCCGCAACTTCTCCGCCATCATATAGATCGCAGTTCTTTGCTCATCACCGCTAGCCACCCTCCTCTTCTTCATTTATTCCGATGAAGTTGGGTATTATTCTTCCTCCTCCTCCTCGTGGTCCTCTACTTTCTGTTTTTCGGTAATTTGTTGACTTTTAAAATTCTAAATAAAATTGTGGATTTGAAAGTTTTAGGTGAAGATCCTTTTTTCTTTGAATGGCTAGGTGATAGGAAACATTTGAGTTTGAAATTTTACTTCTTTATCAATTTTGATCAATTTGGAATATGAGAATGCCATAACCGTTGGTTATTAGAAAAATGTCATTCTTTGAATTTTAAGAATGTCAACTTATTAGAAAAATATCACTTTTATTACATTATATTTTTCAAGAAGACAACATTATTTTTTGATTATTATCCAAATTATGTCATTTTAATTTTAATGATACTAAACGTATAAAGATGTCAATTTTAATACGATGATTACGTAATTTCCTACGAAAATGCCGCAATTATGAATCCAGACATGCTTTTATTTT